GCACTCCCGGGAGGAGCTCTGGATGTTGCCAGGGACTTTCTTGTGCTCTGTTCTCAGGGTCGCTGGCTGCAGCTGCCTGGGGCATAGCTGACAACACCCCCTGAAAGCCCCCAGCTCCTTTCTCCCAGCCGATACTGCCCACTCCCTTGACTCCCTCCCCATGTTGGTGAGCCCCAGGCTGTTTCACTGCCCATTCCCCTGACCTGATGCAGGTGAGCCCTAGGCTCATTCTCACAGTGTCCACTCTCCTGGCTCTCCCCACCCTGTGACTTAAAGAAAAATGGCAACCATAAAGATCCCTGAGTACATCTCTCCCTCCATCTCTTTCCTGATCTTCAGACTCCTGTATCCATGTATCTACTTAACATAGTGTTGAATCTGCATCTCAAAATGACCAACCTCCTCATCACCACCCTCAGCTCTTCACATTGCACATCCAAAGTGTCACAATTCTGGCACTTCTGCCCGCTTCTCACTATGCCCATGTAGGTTACTTGGTCCAAGCCTCCCCTGTGTCTCCTGAATTATTACTGGCCCATCCCGCTCCTGCCCGGGCCGCCCTCAGTCTGCTCAACAACCACAGTAACAGTTGAGAAGGCAGGCCACAACACTCTGTCTTAACAGCCTTAGCGGGCCCTCCATCTCTCTCCAAGTGGGAGCTGAAGTCACCACAACTTGAGGTCAACCAGGCGCTCCCCATGCTGAGAACCAGCTGCATGCTGGTTTGCTCTGACCAGTAGTTCAGTGTCTGCAAGTGACAGTGTCTCGTGTGGGTTTCCCTTGGACAGATTTGCCTACAGGACATGCACTGGATGAAACTCCCCTGAACACTTGTAAGGGAGTGACGGGAGGGTATTGGGCCTGGGGGAGTGAAGCCAGTGCACCAGGGTCTGTGTGGAGCTCCGCTCGCTTTGGGTGGCCCTGCCGGGGGCCTCCCATGGAGGCAGCCCAGCCTTTGTAACTGCATGAAGACTGCTTTGGGGGAGGCAGAGGCAACTCAGAGGCCCACTTGGCCCTGGGGAGCCCCTGCTCCTGGATGCTAAGTGCTAAGTACTTCATCTTGGGATTGCCCCCCAGCACCCACTCTTAGTGCCTCATCCACTGGCAACACTGGCCCAAACCTACAGGCCCCAAATCTCCGCCATGTCTGTTAGTCTGTTCTCTGCTCTTCTCTAGCACCTTCTCATATTAGTCCTAAGGTTGACTGTGAAGTCTGGATCCTATAAGCTAGTTTAGGGATGTCCACAGCAGGGCTGAGTGAGCCATTGGCTTCTAGCTCCTGAGCCCCTCCTCAAACAGCCTATGGGGTGAGGCAGGCATCACCTGGCCCCTCAGGAGGGCCGTGGCTGTGTGCCTCAAAAGTGAAGAGTCCAGAGGTGGTGGGGAGAGTTGTGGTGTGGTTCTGTCACTCAAGGCTGTGGGCGTGTGCACGTAGGCACACAGGCTGGTAAATGATGATGCTTTGCCTTCAGCATTTCACCCGGGAAGTCTGACGAAACCTCTCATCTGGATGGCAGCCACAAGCCTGTCTACTCTCCTTCATTGTCACCCAGGTTCTTGACTACTCTCTGGCTCTAACAACCTTTGCTTACAACCTGACCCTTTGTTTAGGGATTGTTTTCTTTTTCATTGAGAATGTTTATCCTCAAGTTTTGCCAGTGTGGACTTTCTCAGAAGTACATTAAGCAAACCTTTCAGTCCACTTTTTCAGACTTCTTTTGCTTAAAACCTCACTCATAGTGCCCACATTCTCAGCACTAGTTCTTCCGATGTCAGAGGGCATGCACGGGAGAACCAAAACAAGATAATCCAAACACGAAAAGTCTCAGGCTGAGGCCAGCAGGTGGTGTGGAGGTCAAGGTGGCTGGACCCACATAGTCAACTGCATGGTTCAAGGCCTGGACCTAGCAGCTTGGAAAAACACGCTAGGTGTGAGTACGTGCGTGCCCAAAATCCCAAGGAGGAAAAGGTACTGCAGTGTGTCCTTCCCCCTGGGGGATGACTTCTCACTTTCCCTCTCTTCTGGGAAGTGTATGTGCCCAATAGCAAAACTGAAATGTCTTAGGTCTTGCAAGGACAGGTGCCACCCTTGTACCCGTGGCACAAGGGGAATTGGCACTGCAATGAAAAGCCTTGCACTAGCCATCAGAGTCCAGAGCTGGGGGTCCTCGCTGCAGATGATGGCTGACCAGAGGCCAGGTCAGCCTGCTCATCCTTCCCACAGCAGAGCAGGGCCTGGCTGTGCAGCCCAGGACTGGGTGGAGGCCAGTGGTCCTGGGAGGGCAGCAGCTGCACCACTGAGCTGGGCTACGTCCATCCTGGACTCTGCCTCTTCAGCTGGCTGAGGTGGCGGCTGTGCCATGCTGCCGTGGTCCTGGCAATGCCCACAGCTTGGGCTAATCAGGTTGCCTGCCTCCCTCCCTTCCTGTATCTGACGACACACACGCTTGGTGCAGAGCCAAGAAGAAATCCTGGTCCTCCATACTCTGAGCGTTCTGAAAACCGTCCCAACAGGGCGTGCGTTGTGAACCAGCCACCACGGGCTGTACTCACTACTCTTCCTGATAGATGACTGGCTATGGCCCAACAGACCCGAGGGTTGCCGTGCTCCTCCTGGTCGGCACACGGTGTCGCTGTCGATAACGCCACGGGCCCGGCCCTGGTTGGATCCGGGTCCCCTCAGGACCACCGGTGCCCACACACACCTCTTCCCAGGTTCCAGCCTTGTCCCCCTGTGTGGCCACATCCCAAGGGCCCAGCCACGAGGGGGTGCTGATCTGATGGTGCCTACCTCCTCGGACTTCAAGTGCCACCTTGCTTTCCCAGGGGTCCACCCCCCAAAGAGAAGGCAGCTTCCTCCCTAATGCTTAGAGAAGGGCTTCCCCAGACTGGAAGACTGCCCCTGCCCAGCTGGATGATCTGTCCCAGGGGGTGCAGACTATCACCACCAAAAGGGCTAGGGAGCCTCCTTCCTAGACGGAACCACCTTTGGAGCTGTCATTTACCCTCTCTCCCGAGGGCAGCTTTCTCCTGCCTAATGATGCCACTCTTCTCTAACAGCCTGAGGCCCTCCAGACAGCGTGTGCGTGTGCGAGGGGGCTCTGCCGCTGGGTCAGGGAGTCTCACGGTGCGGAGAGCACTTCATCCCTACCCGTGAACCCCAGCATCCGGCCCCAGGGCGGGCCGCCGGCAGCAGGTGTCTGGCCAGCCCCCTGAAGAAGAGGCTGTAAGACTGACCATCAGAGCAGCACGTCTTAGAGAAGCTCCTCTCACGGGGAGCAGGGGCCTGCCTGACAGCAGCGAGGGGAGGAAGGAGGTCCCTGCCCAGGCTGGGCCAGGGCTCCAGGGGAGCTAGCGGGCTGGGGAGGGCAACGGCATGACTGCACGCCTTTCCCAAGAACACATACACACACACACGCATGCACGCACACCGAGGAGAGGGATCTCTCAGTTCCTAGGGCTTCATGACATCTCAAAGGAACTCCTATTACAGAAGCCGGGAGACACTGTGGTCACTCAGACCTTTCCAGAAATACATCATCGCTTTTGACTTCGGGGTGTTTTCCCTTCTGCCTGTCTTCTGGTCATGTTCCCACCTGTCGGTGAGTGGACCCCTCACCTGGCTCCAGAGCAGGGCCTCAGGCTCAGCATGGCCCTGGGCGACGCCAACAAGGCCAGCCTGGGGATAGCACACGTATAATGCAAAAGGGTAACCTGGCCTGTCCCTCTTGAAGCCTAGGCAGCACTCTCCCCTCCCAGGGTGCTGCTTTATCTGGTCCGCAGTTGTTCAGACACTTCCTCTGAATCCAAGGAGTAAAAATGAAAAGTAGGGGCCACCAGGTGGCGTGGTGATTAAGGTGTTGAACTCCCACATGGCTGACAGCGGTTACAGTCCCAGACCTGGTGGCTTGCTTTCTCACTTTCTGGCGAATTAATAGCAATTTTTAAAAATAAAATAAATAATTTTTAAAAAGAAAACAAAAAGAAAAATTGCGCCAGCCTGTGGCCTGGTGGCTAAGGTAGCTGGATTTCACACGATTGACCTTGTGTTTCAAGTCTTGGACCTGGTGGCTTAAAACACACTGAGGGGACCACCGGATGGCATAATAGCTATGTCACTGGACTCCCATGTGGTCGACTGCAGTTCAAGTCCCAGACCTGGTGACAAACTCATGCCGGCACATGTGCGTGCATGCCCACGATCCTGAGAAGAGAATGGAGGAGAAGGGATTGCGGTGTGGCCATCCCCCTGAGGGGTGACTTCTCACTTTCTGTCTGTCTCTGTCTTTCTGGTGCACGCACGTGCCCTATAGCAAAAACCTCTCAAAAACAAAACCACCGGGCATGTGTGGGAGCATGCCCAAAATCCCCAAAGGAGAGAAAAGTGGAGAAGGGACTGTGGCCCCCTGACCTGGCCCCATGAAGGGGTGCTCTCTTACTCCCCACTCTCTCCAGCATGCACACAATCCTTTGGCAGATTTTTAAAAATAAAGGAAGTCGTGAGAACAGCCATGGTGACCTCTCAGACTTCACCCTGACAGCCATATGGACTTTAACAACTGCAGGACTAACTTTCCTAACACTTCGATCTCGTTAAGATGTTGCGAATTTTCCTCCAAAAGTGCAGCGATGTCATCTCTTCCTTGGAAGCCAGCTGATGTGTCCCATTTTGACACAGTGGTGTGAAATTGTAAACACACCATTAAATTCAAAGCCTGATTCATCTGGGGGTAAGAAATAAAATGTTACTTCTTTTACAATACACATTTGTGCTATTAAAATAGTAATGGCTTTCATCTTCCCGTCAGAGGAAGGGTTTGGGCTTACACAGACACAGCTGAGGTCCCGAGCACCCCAGGAGGGTAGAGAAAGGCCCCCTCGCTCCGCGCTCGGACCACGCAGTGAGTCTCCAACTGCAAACAGCTGATCAAGGCACCCTGGTGGGTCAGTACAAGTGCATGGACGCGCCGAGTGCTGGTGTCGGCGACAGGCCTGTGGGTCTGGGGGCAGTGCGAGTGGCCATTTGTCAGCTCCCGAGAGGCTTGTTCTGAGGATGTGTGGGCTGCCAGCTCTTCTCAGGAACCCGAGGATGGCCGCGGAGGCCGCCGCGCTGGCAGGCGAACAGGAGGAGGCTGAGACCTGCTCGGCCTCGGCAAAAGCTGCCCTCCTTCTCGGTCCCTTGGTATCGATGCCCTTGCCAGCCGTGCAGGGGGAACCCACCTCCTGGCCTCCCATTACCCGCTGCTCTCCACCCGAGCTTCCCCCAGTAAGCCACCTGGGCCAGCAGGTCACAGCCGGCTTCCCCTGCTGGACAGCGCCTTCCCGGGGGCTGCCTGCCTGTGTCACAGGGCGGCCTCGGTGACGTTTTCTCATCCGTCAGCTGGAGCGTTTGAAGGCTCCACTGGCCTGCTTGCTGGGATTGTCTACCTTGTCCCAGTAGGAAAAGAACAAAAGTCCCCGTCACTGTCATCAGGGAGGTACCTGCTGGGGACACCTGGAGCACCAGCGCAGTCCCCTGGGGCGGAGCTGTTCTGCACCTGCGGGGACACCGCAGGGCATCTGGAGCTGTGGAACCCCCAGCTGGGGCTGTTAGGGATGGGGTAGGCCTCAAGGAGGCCCAGGGCTGGCTTCCCAGAGACGGAAACTGAGCCCAGGGAGAAGTGGCTACCTTGGCGTCCCACTGCGAGTTAATGCCGGAGCAGGGACCGGAGCCCAGTGCTCTCTCCTTCCCCATCACACCCACTGCAGGGACAGGAGGCGAGCTCCAGGTGCCCCCCACCCCCACCCCCAGTGCTGGGGAAGGAGGAACCACAGAGAGCCTGAAGCTTAGGCTGGAAATCCTTGCTACTTACAGCGTGGCTGGGGCTCCGGCATTTCCGGCCTCGCCTGGGAGCTGGTTAGAAATGCACAGCCTCACGCCTGCCTAGATGCAGAACAGAGGGCCCACCTTGGGGACACCCTCCGCAGTGGAAGCTTCTGGAAGTGCTGTGGGGCAGATGTTGGGAGAAGCCCACGTGTGTCACTCGTGCCTAGTGAGCCCTCCCCACCACGGAGGGTGATGACCATGAGGATTATGGACTCCGAAGAACCCTTCCCCAATGGACTCCCCTGAGACGGAGCAGAGTGGCAGGCGGATGAGCCACTCCCTGCCCGGAGGCAGCTCAGCTCCGAGTTGAGCCCTGGAAAGTGGAGGTGATACCCTGCACAGCCCGGTGCCCCCACTGCACGGGGAGGCGGGCCTGGCGCACGGCGCTGGCAGGGCTGCGGGCAGCTGGGGCTCAGTGGCAGTACTCCCGCTCGATGCTCGCCATCAGCTCCTCCTCGGCATGGGCGTAGACGAGCGCGAATGCTTCCTGGGGCTCTTGGGACTGCTGCCTGGGGCTCTGTGGGCCAGAAACAAGGACGCTGTCAGGACAGAGATGCCACCTCAAACCTTCCTGGGGCCAGAGGGGCCCCAAATGGGCCGTCTAAAATCCCAAACCTTTGCCCAGGGGAGACTTCTGAATCTACGTTTCGTTTATCCCATGATAGCATGTGTGCGCACGCACATGGACATGAGAGAGGGGGAGGCCCTATTATAGGGTCTTGTTACATAGGGATCCCCTTCCCTGTCCTTCAGCCAGCCAGGATCCGGGGCGTGTGCACGCAGCCTGGCCACGTGGCTTCCAGCACCCCGGTCAGTACATCTGCACCTGTGCCCCCAGGCCGGGTCCCTCCGGGTCGCCTGCCCAGCACTGGACATGCTCAGGGCTCCGCCTGCCTCTCTGGCTGGATCCCCACCACGTCATCCGCCAAGGCCTTGCACTCAGTAGGAAGCCAGCACCTGCAGTGTTTAAGAGTGAGGGAGGACTGGGAAGGAAATTCTGAGTTCGAATCCCAGCAACCACTCATCCCACGGCCACCTTGGGAAGGTCATTTGCACCTCTGAGCACCGGCTTATGTTTTTTTCCCTCAAAAACGGAGTTTTGTTTCCAAGTTCTTTCTCAGGTGTAAGACAATGCATGACAGCGTGGGAGTGGGCTCCTACACGCCACTGCTCTTAGTAAGTGGGACTGGCATCGCGGTGTTCTGACAACCCACTCCTGGTCCGTGCCCTCTGGGTCCCCAGGAACTGCTGCGTAGACGGATCGGGCACTCAGGACCCTGGCCCTCCTCCCTCACAGGGCAGCGTGACTGCGGTGGGCCTGCGTCTGAGCCTGCACCCTGTCTGCCCAGCCCCTTCCCAGACTCCTGAGACTCTGTCTGGAAGTCCGGCGGTGCTGCCCACGCTTCCGGATGCGTGATGCTGCTCAGAGCTGTTCCTGGGACCTGGCCTGCTCTTCCTCCTCTCCCCTCAGCGAACTCCTGTGTGCCCTTGAACATGAAGCCCTGCTCCTCCTCGAGCCCTGCAGGCCTCCATCCCCTCTGGCCTCACTGAAGCCATTACCAGCGTTTCCCAAGAGCATTCCCCAGGGCAGAGCTGAGCAGCTCTGGCATACAGTGGGTCCAGGAAGGACATCCCCATGCTTTTCTTTTTTATTGGCAGAGGGTGCCTGCACTCACTGGAGAGTGACAGAGAGGGGAAGTAAGAGAGCACCCCTGGATGACCATACAGCCATCCCACCTCCTCCACCTCTCCCTCCTTGCAGGATTTTGGGCACACACACATGCCCAGCGTGGTCTTCAAGCCCAGATCCAGGACTCAGACTGTGCAATCGGCCAGGTGGTATCCCGGGACCCTAACCACAAGGCCACTGGCTGGCTGTGTGTGCTCACTAAATAAAGGAACCCCCTGAGATCATTCGGAATTAATCAGCCAGCTTGTTAGCCAGACTCTGCAAACCTGTTAACCTCCGATTGCCTCTGCGCGTCAGGTTATCTGCATCCCAGAGACTGCCCCCATTGGCAGAGGTGAGCCAGTTGTGGGAGTGATTGGTGAGGCCCAATGCCACCGGGCAGGGCCAGGGGCTAGCCTTCCCCACCCCCCAATGCTCTGGACAGCTCCACGGGGGCTGCAGCCCTGGCCATAGCGCTCAGTGGTGCTGGGTGGGGGTTCCAGGAGGCCCCTGGAGCAGACGGACAAGGCCTGGTCTTGGCATGGGAAATCTTAAAGAAGGAGACCGGTCACAGCTGCTACCTCCGAGGGCTGGAAGTGCGTTTCCTAACGCTGCAATGAGCTTCGCGTGGGCCGCTGCCACTACAGCCATGGCTCCCGACGCCAAGGGCTGTCTTCTCGCCGATGTGGCCACCGTAAGGCACGACCCCTGGACAGGACATTCCAGAATGAGTTCGTGCAGGTGGGCTTGCAGGTGTGGGCAGGCCGGAACTCCCCAGGCAGCTCCAGGCCCCGGCCAGCACAAGAGGGAGGGCGAAGTGGGGCGACGTGAGGCCCCCGCGTCTTCGTGGCTGTGCCCTCTGACGGCAAGAGCTTGGCGTGTGCCCAGGGAGCCGAGCTGGACCAGGAGAGGCAGGGTGGGGCAGGGTGTGCGCTGTACATACCCGGAGACCCTCACGCTCTCGGGGCCACCTGCCGCGCTCTGCTCCATGGACACCTGGAACAGGGGAAAGGCAGAGGTGTTGGATGGCTGGCCACGGCACGGCGGCCTCGTGCTCTGGTCCTGTGGGACTGGAAGGCCTCTTGGGCTGTCAGACACCATCGCGCGTTCACAGGTGAGAAGACGAGGCTGGGAGGGGTTGGCAGGGACGGGGCAGACACCTGGTGCTGGGCCCCCCTTCTCTCACCCCAGGGCTCAGGGCCCGACTGTTCCCTGTGACTGCGCACCCCCCCCCCCCGGCCCACTATAAGCGCCGCCCCATCCCCACAGCTGTCCCTGCTTCTCTGCCACGAGGAGGTGCGTCCACCTGGCACAGGGCGGTCTGTGGACTCTGTCCCAGCAGCCCACTCGCCTGCCCGGTGCCAGGACCCCGTCACCTCACCCTGGAGCACTGCTCTAAACCAAGTTGCCCACATTGCTCTTTTCAGGCGAGTCTTGGGTTCCAGTCTAGTTCCCACTGTGAACCATTACAAGGGGGGACTCGACCGGACTACAGTGCCGAAGGTGGGGCCTCTGGGGGGTGACTGGGACTAGGCAAGGTCACAGGGTGGGGTCCCCATTTCTGAATCCTGGCGCCTTCCTAAGAAGGAGTGAGACTAGAGCTGACACATGGTCTGGCCCTCCCGCCACGCGACACCTCCCACCGTGCGTGGCCCCTCACCAGATGCTGGCACCGTGCTCCCACTTCCCAGCCTCCCACCGCCAGCTCGACAGCCCAGCCGTAGTGATGCCCGCCTGGCCTAGTCAGTACAGCAGCAGGAACCATGCTCGCACTTGCACAAACGCATAATAGGTACGAGTAGAACCATCATATTTGCGGGGGAGCCCTGGGGTTTTGCTAGGATTGTCTTAAATTATAGACCATTTCGGGGAGAACGGATACCTTTACAATAATGAGTCTTCCAATTTATACACAGGAGATAGCTCTTTTCATTTAGGGATTATTTAATGTCTTCAAAGCATTTTTATTCTTGGGAACCAGCAGTTAGTGTAATGGCTATGTCGCTGGACTCCCACGTAGTCGACTGCGGTTCACGTCCCGGACCCGGTGGCTTAAAACTCATGCCGGGCGCGTGTGCGTGCGTACCCAGGATCCCAAGAGGAGAACAGAGGAGAAGGGATTGTGGCGTGGCCATCCCTCCTGGGGGGGGATTTCTTGCTTTCTGTCTCTCTGTCTCTCTCTGTCTGGCGAGCGCATGCGCCCTATAGTGAAAAAAACTAAAAAAAAATGCATTTTTATTCTTTTCCCTGTAGAGGCCGTGAGTATATATTTTAGATCAATTCCTAAATATCTCAATTATATTTGTAATGCTGTTGTCAATTTATTTATTTTTAGATTTTTGCCATAGTGCATACACTTGCCAGAGAGAGACACAGAGAGGTTAAGTGGGAAATCCCAATCCCCAGTCCCCAGGGGGATGGCCATGCCACAATTCCCTCTCTTCCATTCTCCTCTTGGGATTTTTGGGCATGCATGCACCCGGCACAATTTTCAAGCCACCGGGCCCAGGACTCGAACCACCATCTAGATCAGTGGGATCATCAGCACCTGCTCCTTCATGTCTGGCCCGATTCTGAGAACTGTCCCTGTTCCAATACTCCATTCCCTTGTTACTCACCATATGGATCCTCTTCCCCCTTCCTCTTTAAGAATAACCCCTCCTTCAAGCCCCTCCCGTGTTTGATTTTGTTTGTTTTACTGTTTTATTGTGGAAACGTGAACACACACAGCAGAGGACAGTCTAAGGGACCTCCCTGCACCTCATCTCCCAGCCTAGGCAAGCTTCAGGATTTTCCAGGCAATGTCTGCTACTCACCACCAGAGGGCACTGTTCTCCCTACAGTGTCGTTCCAGGGTTCTCTTAAGGAACTCCACTTAATGGCTTCTGGGCAGAAGCTGAGGGGCAGGTGGGCTCGGGGGCGGGGGTGTGGGGAGCGGGGCAGCACAGCTGACACAACAGGCTTGTTTCAGAGAAACACCCTGGGTGTGAGGCTGCCAGCCCCGGCCCCCCTCCATCTCCCCTGCCCGTGGGGGTGCCATCTAGTCCTGTCTGATCCTGAAGGGCCCTGGGCCTGCGCCCTCCGGAGGCAGAGTTTGGGGGAGACCTGCAGCAGGGCCGTGTCTGGGGCAGGCTCTCGGACTCAGGGGCAGAGAACCTCTGCTCTGCCCCTCCTCCCTCAGCCGCCGCCCTCCAAGCTCCGGCCCCTAAGCTAAGAGTCTCAGTCAGCCCAGGGGCCAGCTTAACCACCTGCCACCCGCTGGCCCTTGGGCTGACTGAGGCTCTTAGCTTAGGGGCTCGGAGTGGCTGACGGCAGTTCGAGCCTTGGACCTGGTGGTGCTTTCTTGCTTTCTGTCTCTGTCTCTCTCTGGTGAGCACAGTCTACTTTCTAAATTGCCAGAGCGTGCATGTGCTCACCAGAGAGCGAGGAGAGACGGGAATGCACCTTCCATGGGCCACACCAGAGTCTCCATTTCTCTACCTTGCAGGATTCTGGCCACAAACACACATCCAGTATTTTCCAAACGCCAGGGCCAGGATTCAAACCATGGTCAGTCTTAGAGGATCCAACTCCTTTAATTACTAGGCTATGGGGCCGGCCCAGAATATAGTGTTGGGGGGGTGGGAAAAGGTTCTAGGTCAATCTGACCCTACAGGACGCTCCTGCCATGTGTGTGATCCCGGCTGGCCAGGAGACTGGAGGGGGACCACGGCCCAGAGGTCCCCCTTCCCAGGGACCTGTTCTCTTCCCACCCTACTCCAGGCCATCAATAAACCTAAACATTTCTTCTTACTGAAGAGTGTGCCCTCAGATTTCACGAGTGCATCCAACTCTCACAACACCTATCCAGGGCTGGCTCTATGGCCTGGTGTTAAGGCAGCCAGATCCCACATGGCTGACATAGGAGTTCAAATCCCAGCCCTAGCAACTTGAAAAACACACCAGGCTTGTGTGTGTGCACCCAAAATCCCAAAGGGAAGGAGACACAGGGAAGGGACTGGGGTGTGATCGTGCCCCACTGGAGGAGTTTTCTCCGTCTGGTGAGTGTGGGTGCCCTCTGGCAAGTTAAACAAAGCTTTTCTGGCCCAGTCTGGGACTGGGACTTGCACAGTGAATCTGGTGTCCTGGCAGGGCCAGCTACCACCACTGCACTGAGAAAACCACCTTCCTACGCTCCACAAACAATCGATACCAGGCAAAATACGTCCCCAAGTAATCGGTCACTGGTGAACTGCGGGGACACTGCTGCGTTTTAAAAATCCACCGTGATTACATAAATTAAAAACCCACGAATCCCAATCCTTGGATTTTCTCCATGTTTTCCCACTGTAGTTTGTCGTTTCAACTACTCCACTAAATACTGTTGATTTCAAAGTTCTGCTGACTTTGGGTCAGGAATTCTGCCTCGGGCACCTAGGTGTGTGTAGACATGAAGTTGAAAATTAACCAGGTACAGTAATTATAGAGCTGGCGTCGAGAACTAAAGTACACGCATTTGATGGACTATTTGCATTTATTAAAATAATAATTAATGGGACCAGCAGGTGGTGTAATGGCTATGTTGCTGGGCTCCCATGTAGTCGACCGTGATTCAAATCCCAGACCCAGTGGCTTAAACTCAACGTCGTGATCGTGCGCGTGCGTGCCCAAGATCCCGAGAGGAGAATGGAGGAGAAGGGATTGCAGCGTGGCCATCACCCCTGGGGGGTGATTTCTCGCTTTCTGTCTCTCTGTCTCTCTCTGTCTGTCTGGCGAGCGCACGCGCCCTACAGTGAAAATCTCTCCAAAAATAAAATAAAATGATCATTAAGAGTGTGCGGAACTGAGAAAAGCTGCTTATGAGCTAGTTTGAGTAGAAAATTCACAATGGAATCTGTGTTCTAATTTCAATGATTTCAACATCTGAGAGATATACAGATCAAAACTTGAAAGAGCACAGGAGAAAACAGCTGCTGAGTTAGAGAAAAGTCTGAGAGCCCGTTTTAAATTGTTAATGACACAATGTTGGCTTCACCTGTAAAATTTTTTAAGATTCTCAACATTGGCATAAACAAACCAAAAACACCCCAACCTGAAAGCTGCCTAAATACCATAGAAAAAGGGCTTAGTTAAAAAATTATACTGGGCCAGCCAGTGGCACGGTGGTTTATGTGGCTGGATCCTGATAGCTGACAACACAGTTCAAGTCCCGGATCTGGCAACTTGAAAAACATGACAGGCACATGTGCGTGCATGCCCCAGATCTTGAGAGAATAATGGCAGAGAAGGGACTGTGGCATGGCCATGCCCCTGGAGCAGGAGTGCTTTCTCTTTCTTTCTTGCTCTCTTTCTTTGGTGAGTGCATGCGCCCCTGAAAAAAAAAATCTAAAACCTGTATTTACTGGGCCAGCCAGCTGTCATGGTGGTAAGGCGGGCGTGTCTCTCCTGGCCAACTGTGCAGTCTGAGTCTTGGACCTGGTGGCTTAAAAGACACACTGGGTTGGGGCTAGCAGTGGTGTGAGGGCTGAGACGCTGGACTCCATGTAGTTGACCATGGTTTGAGTCCTGGACCCGGCGGCTTGAAACTCACGCCAGGCACATGTGCATGCCTGCCCAAAATCCCGAGAGGAGAGTGGGAGAGAAGGGATTGCAGTGTGGCCATCCCCCCGAGTGGTGACTTCTTGCTTTCTGACTCTTTGTCTCTCTCTGTCTCTCTAGCAAGTGCATACACCCTACAGCAAAAATCTCTCAGATGAAAACCACGCCGGGCGCATGTGTGTGCGTGCCCAGGATCCGAGAGGAAAGGGGAGGACAAGGGCCTGTGAAGTCACCCCCTGGGGGGTGCTTTCCCATTCTCTCTCCCCCTCTCTGTCTCTCTCCCGCGACCATACACACCCCATAGCAAACTCAAAAATAAGAAGTTCTCCTTCTCCCTTTTTTAGAATACATATTACCTGCAATAAAGCTAAATCATTTCACAAGCATCTCTCCAGCGAACAAGCACTAAAATTTAAAGTGGCAGAAAGGGGGCTGGCCTGTAGCACAGTAATTGAGTCCTGTGCGTAGGGAGCCAGATCCCACCTGAACCACTCCGGTTCGAATCCCAGACCACAGAGGTTTGAAAAACGGGCACGTGTGTGTGTGTGTGTGTGTGTGTGTGTGTGTGCGCGCACACGCGCCAAAAGT